CACTGAAGGCATCATTTAGAAATTGTGCAGAGTGCAACAGTAAATTACCACCCACCATTGTGCATTCTTTGTGCCTTTTCTTCTTGAGGGAGAACCATGTGGTGGATTTGTGTTGCCACTGCCAGGTGGTTTACCAAGCAAGCTAGAAAACATCATGCTGACTGCCTGAAAGCAGGGCCTTCCAAATTGGTTAAGAAAGTGAAGACTTCTAAAATAGCCACTCAGGAATAAGGAGAAGGTGGTGGTAATGGCACTAAAAAGCCTTGCAATAAGCAGCCTCCTGTTGGTCTCCCACATGATAAAGACTCAGTGCCTGAACTGCCCTAACCCGCCCTCCCCCGTTTCTGAGACCAATGCAGAAGCTTCCAATTGTGCTGTGATGCACAGCCCTGAGCTCTTCATTCTTGAAGGGAGAAATACAGGAACCACCATCACTCATATGGCAGGATATGCCTATTACTGAGGGACCGGCACACACTTCATCTTCCTCTCTGATCCAGAGTGTGCTGGACCCCATCGAGCCCAACAGGCACTGCTGTTGATGCCTCTCTTCAATAGCTTATTGGGACTGTAGCTCTCGGTGGAAGTCTGACAGGGAATTTTACAGGGAATGCTGGTCATCATTTGACTCTCAGTGGAGTCTCACCAATTCCAAGAAGCTGCCCCCACACACCAAGCCTCTCTTGCCCGAGCTGAAATTAAAGGCTTCCAGGGCTGCAAAGGAAACCCAAACCCAGTACATCCTACCATGTCAAGCCCACTCACCACATGCAAAGTCTCTTGAAATGCATCAGGCAATGATCACACAGGCTGAGGAATCAGATTCTGAACCCTATGCCTCTAGCTCAGGACCCAAATTCCTGGATTGGATCTCCAAAAAGTTACCAGCCCCAACTCAGGCTTTGCATGACCTCCCTCAATCATCCAAAGACCTGGAGCAGTTTTCCAGCTAGGTCCTTCAGATGGCTCAAAGTTTGGGACTGAAGCCGTGTCAAGACCTGGGAAAAGGAACGTTCCTGGTATTCAAGGTGATCTACGCAGAGATGACTGGACCCATGGCCATACCCCTCCTGCCTATCTTGTTGAATATGGTCTGCCAGGAGTTGAAGTCACATACATCCATGGCCCTGCCGCCTAAGCAGCTAGAGAATACATACTGAGTGTAAGAACACAATATGAAATTATTGTTCCTGCACTTGCACCCAAACTCCATCATCATATGTTCCTTCCAAGGATCATTCAGAAAGAAACCTGACTGACAAGGAGGGCCACTGCTGTAGAGTGACGATTCTACTCTTCTGATACCTTGTCCATTAAAATAGCAAACCACCAGACTACCATGGCTATATATCACCTGATGCTATGGGACAGAGTCACCTCTTTATTTGAACCCCTCCCCAAAGAGGCCCAAAATCTGGCTAATGAGATCAAAACAGAAGCTACTCACCTCACTCACCAAGAGCTCCACACCACCAAACATTGGGTGGAGTGTGGCAGCAGAAACATGGCAGAGCAATAGACCTCCATGCTTTTCCTGGCTGCAAGCTTGTGGTCTGTACACGGAAGCAAAGATGAGGATTGAGTATGTGCTGTTTGGTGGAGCTAGTCTGTTCAGTGAGGGAACAGATGACTGGATGCACTTAGTTCAGAAGGTGAAAACGATGGGCCAAAGGATGGGACTGAACCAAGTCTCACTGCGTAGACAGTATACCCCTCATAAGTGGTAATGCTTTACTTACCCATACTAGTCCAGATCTCAGACCATTCCAACCCAAGTTGAGTCTGAAAATCAGACAGACCGGTTTCCATGTCAATTCTCACCAGGGCTTTTGATGATTGCACAAACCCAGGTGACACTTGTGACTGCAGTCTCTGTTCTTAGACTCCTCACCACTCTTATTCAGCCACTGACTCCACCCCTTTTACCATGCTTTGGCTGAGATGACCTTGGATACATCGGTGCTAGCCATCAATCTTCCTGGATACTAAATTAAATTCAAAAATCTCCCACGCTTCTTAGTATTTTGAAGCTCCAGTGGAGCAAACCCTACATGGATTTGTTCACAGCAGGAGACAATTTGGCATGTGGCCACTGCTGCTCCAGGGTAGGAACAGGAATGGGCTTGATGGGGGACACCTTCCTGTTAGCATGGAGCAGGTTCCTGTTCTATCTCTTTTCCTTATTTCCCCTGCTCATGAAGATCTTGGCAGAGATCCACTGGCACCCAACAGACCACATTCTTGTCATCCCTTGGTGGCCCAGGCAACCTTCTCTCTTAGACCTTTCCAGCTGGACCTTCTTGTGCATACTCTGACATCATTTTCTGGAACCAAGTGCGATTCTCTACTGGTACACGCTCCATCTCACAGCCTGTAGGATCTCGCCAGCACCAGTGTCCTAACTGATGTACCTACAGACTTCCACCTCATACCTGAGGCCACCCTGAAACCTACCACCAGATATTTATACCACACAAAGGGGGGATCCTGACAGCTCAGCACAATAGCTGCTACTATTTCTGGATGCTCTGTACCAAAGGGGACTGAAGGTGACATTGATCCATGTTTATACTGCAGCTATGCCTGCCTTCCATCTTCCAATTCAGGGCCACTTTGCCTTCTCCCATCCCCTAGTTCGCTCATTCCTAAAAGGCTCAATAACCTCACCCTGCCAACCTGTGCACGTACACCTGCATGGAACCTTTCTGTGGTTCTCCATGCCCTTACAAAGAAATCATTTGAACCTTCACCTCCAATCATGGTATACTGCCTTTCTGGTGGCTAGCACCTCACCTCTCTGGGCAAGTGACCTCATCACCTTCTGAATGGACTCCCTGTACTTCATATTTCATAAAGACAAAATAGTACTCTGACCAGACCCTTCTTTCCTACCCGAAGTGGTCTCTTCCTTCCACCAACGAAGGAATAGATTTTTTCAATGTTTGATTGAATCAGTGTTTCACTCCCGCGATGTCAATAGGCTCTGATCTTTTACAAGTCCAGGACAGAACCCATCTGGTAGTCACAAAGACTCTTAGTTGCCTATTGGGGCAGAAACCAGGGGTTACCCATCTCTGCACAAAGACTGTCAAAATGGGTAATGGGTAAACACAATCCTTTAAACCTATGAACTCTCTTGCCTACAACCATCTGGTCTGATTCTTGCCCATTCTGCCAGGGCAATGGCCACCTCTACAGCTCTATACACTGGAATACCAATGCCAGACCTGTTCAGAGCTGTGACATGGAGGAATCTGTTGACCATTGTATGCCAATATTGTCTAGATGTTTGAGCCAGAGCAAACTGCCTTTGGCAGGGCAGTCCTTCAGTTCTTTGCTAACAACACCCACCTCCATAAGGTAAGCTCGCCAATTGTCCATATGTGTGATACACAGAGACCATGAAGATGAAAATTAGATTTTGAGTGGTCATCTGTGCATCTACACAAACTCACTCACCAGCCCCTCTCATATTGCCATTTAGGACTGTAAGTCCCTGACAATCTTGCCCCCTTTGGTTAGAACAACAAAGTGGTGGTCTGTATTGAACTGAGGACCAGGCAGGAGTTCCTCCCTGCATGTGGAGGTTTGTCCATGGGTGGTAGCCCTGCCAAATAAGATTTGTTGGAACCTTCCCAAACAAGCTTCCACGCATGTGCACAGAGCCCATATGTTTGAATTCACAGATGACCACTCAAAAAACAGAGGTAAGCAACCTGACTTTATTTTAGCTTAAACCTGATCTATTGAGACACCTTTTGGTGGAAGAAGTACATTTTTCAGTTTTGGTTCCTTCAGTTTGATATCCTGTGCTTGAAAACTAGATCTGATTGACTTCTTAGGGTAATTATATACAAATAAATCAGATGGTTGATATGGCTTTTATTGCACGAGTTACTGAGAAGTTACTGAAGCAATTTCCAAAGTAATTCTCTCTTAAAATTTACTGAAACAAACACTTTGAGCTAAATCCAAATCACCACCGAAGAACATCCATTCACAGAGGCTTCAGGTAGAATACAGGAGACCCTTATTTTATCCAGGAAATTTATTCTCTGACCAATGGGTGGGGCCAGGTTGGTCATTCTCTTGCTATGAAGTTGTTTGTGTAGCCCTTTATCTCTTGGCTGGTGGCAGAGTCAGAAGAGACTTTCCTTCAACTCTCCAGTCTCAGGGCAATTTAATGGAGCACGTTGTAGATTAATTGAAGGATTTTTTTACAAAATTGTATCTTCCTCATAGAATAAATGGACTGTTACTGTGCATGCTTCACTTTCTTCTTGTTTCTTGAATCTACCAAAAAAAAAAGCATTATTCAGTTCCTGTCCTTGAAAGGAAGAGTTTCCTGAAGTTAGAAGGGAGACAGGAAACAACTGTTGTAGACCCTTGTGGAAATCCCTTGAATACTGATGTTGTGCCAGGACTACAATTCCTCAGTGAAGTTAATTCCTCAGTGAAAGGACATCCTTTACTCTCTGCCTACAAATGTTGTCATAACTTGTTGAGAATTAAAGAGATGGATATTCTTGGTGTACTTCCCAGGGCCTGGGTGGCACAACTCTTTAGATGAGGACTGGGAAACAAAGAGTGTAATCATAGAGATGACAGAGGAAGGTGAGGTTATCTCAAGGCTGCCATCCCCAGGTGTTCAGGCAGACCTTGGGAACAGATAGAGTTTGAAAGCGCAGTGAGGGGACATGGGAGAGAACCAGGGAGAGCCTGGTCAGGCTTGCGTAAGTCTAAGAGACTAGCTGTTATCCAGAGGTATGGAGCCCTTACTGAAAAGGAGGGTTCTCAGAAATAGTTTCCAGTTTAGTTGCTATGAATATGTTCATGCACTGAGCCTCATCTTCTGGTGGCAATAGTTTGCTAGTTGTATATTGGAAGTAAAGGGCTCTTAAGCAAAAAGACTGTTATTTGAATGGAATGAAGGGGGCAACCCAGCTTCCGACAGCACTTGTGTTTCATATTACTAACATGTGAATATTTGTTTTATCTAGGAACTGTCTCAGGAAGGTTATGGAACCAGATCTCAGCCCCCTATCACTCAAAGCAAGCCTAACCATGAAGATATGAATCTGATGCAACAAGAAAGACCATCAAGCTTACCAGTAAGAAATTAGTTAACTGATCAAAAAAGTTTCATGATTTATATTGAAAACAAAAAGCTGTAATAGAAACAAAACTTTGAAATTCATGTTGTTTGGGAACTGTTAGTGGCACATTTCTATTTGGATTTAAAATATAAGGAATAAGACAATAAGGATCCAGTTTATTGATTGGGAGAATCCTAGTCCTTTCAAAGATTAGAATATCTTTCACTGCACATTCTGTCATATATTAGTTATAAATGAACATGTTTAACTAGTTATGTCAGTATAACATTTATACCTCTATATGTTTATATGTATTGTGCAAAACATTACTGTTTCAATGAGTGCAGGAAGAGGTTGGAGTATTCTTATGTGTTTGTTCTTTAAACTGAACAGGAAATAAATTTTTAATGCTTTCTGCAGTACATTTTAACATTTCAAACCATCATTTGTGTAAGTGATCTTTCAGCATTTCAGGAAAAAAGATTTTCAATTTATAAATCCCAGATGTATTTCATTATGGTGGATATGCTCCACTATGTTTTCAATAGGACTGTTGCAAGTATTATACGATAGCCTGATAATTTAATATGGTAACATGTCAACATATCATATTCAAGCAGTACTGATTACTTTGGAGGTGGAGGTAAGGAAAAACTTTTATGTGATATTCTTGTCACATTATAATTACCTTATTAGCTTAGTTGACTGAATCTGCTCTTGACTGACAATATGGAAAAACATTTTTGAATGGTAATTGGATAATTCTTCTTATTTTATGAATTAATGAAAAAGAATGATGATGAAATGATGATAATATACTAATAATAGTAAATCTAAGTTGTAACCAAAAGAAAGCTTTGTTCTTGGCTGCAATCCTAAGAATGCTTAGTAGAGTTGTCTCACTGAACACAGTGGAATTTACTTGTTTGGGAGTGGGTGACTTGCGCTAAGAAGAACCAACTCCATGCTTATATGTATTTTAGAAATAGCATTTTTTTAACATTGTGGAAGAGTTTGCTGGATCAGCTCATTTTTCAGGAAGAGTAGCATATCATTTGCGTATAATACTTGTTTACATCGATGGCCCTGAACACTTGAGAAAGAATACTTCTAAATTAGCAATATTAGTAATAACCAATATAACATTCAATATTTTTGAATGTACAATTAAATTTAAAGGGGCAGATTAGTTACAGCTGAATATTGAATGAGTAAGATGTATAGCTAGGTGACCATTTTAGATTTTGTTCCCTTCAAAGTTATTGTGAGAATGCATTCCTGTGGCCTGAATCAGAATCTTAGGGGTCATGGTATTATGTAGAAAAATCCCTCTGGGGTCATAAGCAAAGCTCTAACCTTGCAATGTTTTACACAATGTCAGAGGCCTCATTTTGGTTCCATCCGGACTCTGAGGAAGATTCTATGTAGCTCCCTCTACAAGGTTAGAAAAATTGTTGATTTAGAAGCATCCTAGTGGGACGTAAAGGAAGGGCAGAGCATGGCAAGGAAGGTTCACAGTTCCTGACAACATCCCTGTCTATAGGAAACATTTAGACATAGTTATTTGAGACAAAATGGGCTGTACTACCAGTGGGTAACCATTTTGAATAATCAGCACCCACAGTCTATTAAGTTGTGCAACCTAACTATTGTACAACCCATGGAACTTGGGTTCACATGATACAGCAAACCAGTTCTCACCCAGCACATGCTGCAACCCACCAGGGCTCTTTTGCTCATGCAACTGAGCTGAATCTCAGGTTATCTAGTTATTGGCAAAATGTACTGGCAATAGATATGCAACTACAGTTTTATGACAAAGTTAGCCATGTTGGTCCAGGAGGAAAAGAAAATCACATTCCTCAGTGGAGCAGTTTATTAGAATCAATCAAAATTTCACAACATTGTGCAAACTTCTGAGTGCTATAGAACACTACATTAGGTTAAGTGATACAAAAAGCTGAGAATTAGGGAAGAAACCCCAAAGTACACCCAGTCTGATGTGTCCTGTTTACTTCTTCATAATAAAGTAATTGATCAACCTCATTAATAAAACTTTTTTCAGTTTGTCGTATTATACAATATCCTTGTGTTTCATGCTTATTGTGAAGCCTTATAATTTCTTGAATACCATCTTAATAATTACGTACTTCCAGGGCTGAGCTAATGCAAAGGAATCATTTTATAGGGGAGTGATAGTGAATCATGTTTTTCAAAGGAGCTCTCCTTTCTCCTATTGGTTACAGCTTGAAATAGGATTCCAAAATAGGGCAAAAACACTTCATCCTTTAAGAGTAAAGAGAGTAAGTTGGTCCTTACTCTATTTTGGCCTCATGGCATCATCACACAGCAAAATCTAATAGGCTATGTGCCATTATTAGGACAAGACAGTCTTTTTCAGTACAAATGCCATAACAAAATACATTTTCTACCCGCAATGTGGCTTCAGGAGCTAATCAGATCATATAACATACATTTGATAGGTCCTGGGATGTTATATGGTTCCTGATTGGCTAGAACAAATAGTCCAAAGGATGGCCCATGCTTTGTTTTTCAGGTCACAAAAGCTGCTGACAAGATGCACAAAGAACAGGAGTGCATTGTTTGTAAAGCATATATTTTAGAGGTATCTTGGAGAATATTTAAAGCCACTAGATAATCTTTTTGTGTCAAAATTCAGCACAACCCTAGATACTTTGCAATCTAGTACTGAGATTTTGAATTAGTAATATTAAATGTGTGCCTTCAGCTTATTTCTTCCCTTTGCTCTCTCATGATTATCTTGAGTCCCATTTATTTTTAGCATCTCTACTTCTAGTATGATCAAGTGTGCAACCTTATGCATGCTTAGACTAAAGGACCATCTCCTATGTGGTCCCACCTATCCACTATTAGTGGAAGAGGTGGGTGTGTGGTGATTTAGACTTCTTCGTATCTTGGCAAAGAAATGTGAACCATGTCTGAAAGCATGTTTTCTGTGGCAGTACTAAGACTGTAGACCTCTCTGCTTTGGGTCATTCACCTTGCTCCTCCTTCTCTAATGCCATTTGAAAATCTTTACAGATTCCATTCTGGCAAACATTCAGGCTGGCTGGAGTTTGACCATAAAAGACTACTTGGTTTAATAATTTTATTGCTTGTCTTGCCTTTTTTTGATCTTTTATTTGTTTTAAAATGTCTTTACTTTTTTAACGTTATAAATGTTAGCTGCCTTGTTAGAATGGAAAGTAAGGAAAGAACTCCTTCCATAAATGAAAGCATTAACTAAAGGTAGAAGGACTTGCGTCCCTACAATCTGGCTGTAAGCCTAATTTAAATAAACCAATGGAAAAAGAAAATTATTGAATTTTATTTTTATTTCAATTAGCATGTTTCCATTTACTTGGGTGAAAATATCACTGAAATTAGCTGGAGTTACTTCCAGAAAAGCATGGATAAAACTTTTCTTTTATTCATGAATATTTGATGCTATATTGGAATTATTTAGGGCTAGAATCCTAAAATATATTCAGAACATTCTCTGAAGGTATGGGAGTATTTTTGCTATTATCCCTATCCTAGAACCCTGACATTATAGAAGATGTCCATTACCTTTATATTAGAATAAAGTCTATATTTAGGAGCAGGCTAAAACTTGACTTGGAATTTGGAACAAGCTACTTAACTTAATGTTTCTAGCAACTAGTAACAGTAAGTAGACCAGCAATGAAAACTCAAAATATACTGGAAAATACTTGAAATGACTGTGCAATGATTAACATAATATTAAAAAAGACTTAAATGCAACCCTGAATTGCTGAAGAAATTGCTGTGTTTTCAGATACAAGTCTCATGATTCAACTTCCTTTAACTCCTTAATCAATAGGAAATAGCTGAAATTGTATTAAAATTATAGATATTGATAGAGGAAACAGACAAGAAGCTCCAGTATTACCTACAAATCACAGTAACCCTCTGTTATCTTTGCTGATTCATAAAATTCCAGTTTCACTCATTTGAGCAGCCCAGCTATTCCTGTCGTATTTACCCATATAAAATACATAGGTTTGTGTACATGAATGGAAAGCCATTATTTTTCTTCCTCAGTATGCTTGCATACCCCAGTGCCATATCCAGAACCATTTTTGAGAATCCCCTCTTCCTGATGTTCAACTACTCAGGGCATACTGAGACTGTCATGGGAACAGGTGGCAGGAAAGACCTGTCCATAATCAAAACACTGCAAACTGTTCTTAGGATTTAAGCTACAATGCCTGTTTGTCAGATCATGGATTTACTCACCTGTTCCTTGATCATGGCAGCAGTTTCAGGAAAAAAAATACTATTGTGATCCTGGGGATTTCTGATAACTATATTATTGATTAACAGTCACTCATGTTTCTCTATGTAATTACATATCTAGCTGTGGACTGGATTCTTTTTCTGCTCTAATCATAGGTGTGGGGAAAGGGTCTCCTCAACATCAACCAGAAGACTCTTATAAATTTTGTCACAGCTTGACTGAACACATAAACTTCTTAATTGGTGGTGGGCAACTTGTGCCCCTCCAGATGTTTTGGCCTACAACTCCCATCAGCCTCATAACCAGACGAGAGTTGCAACCATCTAGATGTTTGATCTCCATGTTGCACATCCCTACTCCAAATAATAAAGTAGTTTGCATGTTATCCCAGATGATTGCTACAATTCAAAAAAAAAAAAACTTGCAAAGTTTTGAGAATGAGCATACTATTTGGCTGCCTCTGCTATGACTACCTGGTTTGTAGCCTTTGTATCAAAAATAATAATGTAGTGTGAATCAGTCATTAGTACCAGTTACTCCCTGGTTTTTTCCAACATTTCTCTGATTTTCACAGTACAATGCCTTCCTACCTGTCTTCTTTCTCTCATTTCTCCTGAGAACCAAACTCTCTTAATTATATAAAAGCTTTATATTGGCAAACTAACTAAAAAGTATTAGAATTTAGTTAGTATTAGAAAACTAACAAAAAAATAGAATATGCAGTAGTTTAATT